CAGGTCCAATCTGTCAAGACAGAAGAGTTAGTAACTTTGACATGGATCAGGAGGTGCAGGTGGATATTCAGGTGTTCACTAACCTCCTGTCTTGGTGTAGAGGCTGAAGCTTTAGTCACGCTGAAGCCGGTGATGTCTCTCCTGTAGAGTGAGCTGCTGCAGCGGAGCACATTAAAAAGGACTTCAGGTCCAGAACAGGGGGTTCCAGAATCGTGGTTCGTAAGCCGTTGCAGGGGTTAAGCACGATGAAACAGACAGACGAAAACAGAGCCGAATCGTAACCCAAAGGCGTGGTCAAAGGGGAAGTCACAGAGTCAGAAACCATGGGCAGAAAAGCAGACAAAAGCCAAGAAGGTTCAGGCAAGTCGAGGAGTCAAAAACAGGCAAGAAGTCGTGGCAAGGCAAGAGACAAGATCAGGTATGCTGGATTTCTACTGCTTGTGAAAGGTTTAGGAATCTGGCCTGACTGAGTGCCTGAAGGGAGCTTAAGTATGAAGGTGAACAGGTGTAGAACATGAGTTTGATTGCTGGGAGAGAGTGAGACACAGGAACAGGCAGAGCTTGGCAGGAACAACATAAACATGACTGGCTGTGAGGGGCAAAAACATGACATATATAGAGACAACTCTAAGATTTATTGTGAAAAGATTTAGCGATTATGTCACTTCCTGGGTGAAGAAACTATAAAGGGGATGTGGGCTCCACTCAGTGGTAAAATAAAGCAACTTGGGAGCTGAGTGGATGTCTGGCTCTTCTGTCCCCTTTCAGGGGCGTAACATATGCTTAGCTATGAACTGCTATGCATAGCTGAACAGATCTCCAGACAAAGGGAGAATACCTGAAGACAGAAAAGCTGGTGGTCCACCTGTCCAAAGTCACTAACAACATCGTTTTCTGCATCGTTTTTATGTCTATATTCTGATTTACCTCATTTTGTATTTTGCTTTGTGTGTTACCTGTTGTTCTGTCTGTACAGCACTTTGGTTGGCCTTGTTGCTGTTTTAAGTGCTTTATAAATAAAATGGTATGGTAACGACAACTGCAGTCTGGTGGAGGGGTCAACCCCACATTTGATCTGTGATGGTCGTCCAATGACCTTAGTTTCAGGATCAAAACTGCAATTTGCTCTGACAATGAACACTCACATGGGCTTATTTTTCAGACATGTGCAACAGCGTGACACATAGATGATTTTTTAGTAGAGCAGACTAGAACTGATGTGGGTTGCTGGATTACCTGTCCTTTCCAATTACTCTGTGATGTAAATTTGTTTTATTATCTCAAAACCTTATATAAAGATGAATAATGCTACCCCCCACCCCTACTCCCAAGCAAAAGTATTGACTTTTTCATTCATTTCACCTTTTGTTTTTACAGGTTAGTCTCAGGAGTCACAAAGACACATTTACAAGAGAAACCTGTACCTGAGATCTGACTTTGATTGAGTTTGCTGATGTTTTCTAAAGTAATTATATGTTTGCTTTTGCCTTTGGAGAAGCTCATTTAGTGGGTCTGGTTTGCTACAAGGGATGAAAGTGTCAAGAATGGGTTTTGGATTCTTAATAAGCCAGACAGGAGCAGAACAACAAGAACAGTTTTTATTAACTTGGCTGCTGGTTGCTGGGACTCAGGATCCAGGTGGGAGTCCAGTATTAAAAACAGAGAGGTGCTCTGGGCGATCTCCAGCCGATGTTGTCACTCAGGCTGATAGAGCTGCTACAGAGGGGTAGACTGAAGATGTGATCCAGACAGGGTAAATCCAGATGTGTGGTACTGAATGAATGGAGCTGGGTGAACAGGTGCATGGAACAAATGCTGATTACAGTGGAGAAAATAAAGGAGGCGTGGTATGGAGTGAAGGGAGTGGGCTTGAACTCAAGGATGGGTGATAGGCAAGACACAGCAAGGAGGCAGAAACTATGAGAGTTGACAGCAGGAGAACAAAGAGCATCAAGGCAGAAGCATGGCATGAAGAGCAGAGGTGTGAGCAGATGAGGGGTCGGCAGGGGCCGCTGACCATTACAGAAAAGTAGTTATTGGTTGATGTTTCTAGCAGCAATTGATATTGAAACCATGTTAAGATTTTTAGCTTTATGTGTTTAAAGTTCAGGGTGGATGGATTAGTGGGTAAAATTGGAGCTATGGCATGTAAAATTATACATTTCTTCTAAATTAAACAGAGGTGAAACAGTCAGCCCTATTTCAAAAGGGGGAGTTTATTGATTAATGAGTGGATCGTTAGTTAAACTAAAAAGAGAATCATGGGTGTAGGGTTTCTGGGGTCTTGTCTTACATGTTGTGTTTTCCCTCATGTTTGCCTGTCACCCCTCAGCTTTTCTCCTCCTGTGTTCCAGCACTGTTGCACCTGTGTCTAATTCTAATCACCGCAGGTGTCACTCATTTCACCTTGTTTGTGTCTGTATATATTCAGCCTCTTGGTGTCTTGTCGGTGTCTCTGGATTGTCCTTTTCCTAAGGCTTCATGACCTGTCTCTTCTGTGTGTCCTCCTTTAAAGTAAGTTTGCTGCCCCGACAGCATTTTGTTTTGTTTATTTAATTAATAAACGATTTTACTTATTTACTGGAGCTTCATTCGTCTTCCTGCACTTTGGGTCCCCACACACGGAGCCGATCATGACAATGGGGTTTTACATTTTCAACGTAAAAAAACAGGTAAAATTGGAGCTCCTACTAACAGCAGTATTTGTCTTTCTCCCTGTGAGATGTCAGGAAGGAAGTTTCCAGGACCTGGCAGAACGTAAACACAGACCTTCTGAGGGGGTTTTGCCAAAGGTGGACTTTTGTTCTTAGAAGATTAATTAGGCTAAATAAATGTATGGATGAATAGATGTGTAGATGGATAAAGGTATGGATGAATAAAGGTATGGATGAGTGGCAGGATTAATAATCATGAACCGTGAATGTTTTCTTGTTCTATCCAGACAGATCTCCAGAGCTGCAAGGCCAAGCTGAATAAATTAACTGATTTTGACCTTCTTCCATTATACAGCAGAAATAAATGTCTAATTCATTCATTCAACCTTTATTTAGACAGTTTAATCCCATTGAGCCTCGAGGACTCATTTACAAGAGAGACCTGATTTCAACAAAGAATGATGACAACATGCTAATGCTGTATTGTGCTGGTTTGAGGAACATGTGACCAAAGAAAATATAGAGTGTGCATGCGCTTAAAAAGTTATTTTCCACAGGCTGAATGAAGTAAGCAATAAAATAAATCTAACTAACTGACACCACTGACAACCCCCGCTATTCTTGCAAACTTGTCTCCTTATGATTATTTGGTTGCATTGAATGTTAAAATAACATATTTCTGTATATTCTTATTTCTACACCTGTGAAAATGATTATGGTGATGAAAGAAAACACTGAATGTGAATGTTTCAGAACCCTGTTGAAGAAGTCAAGCGTATCCGTTTTTGAGGTTCACATTTCTAAACGTGAAAGGGGGCATGAAAGGATACTGCTATTTATGCTTACCGTTCTACTATAAAACCATAACAATCTAGAAGCAATGATGAAATATTTTATAGAGTCAAACCCATTTAGGTCAACAGGATTTTTAGGATTCTTGTTAGAAATAGAAAAATACAGAGTCACCTGTCTTAGAGAGCTGAAACTGGATTGATAGATTTGGAATACGGTTATTCTCTGGGAGGATATTCTATGGTGATTAAACTTGGAGCTAAGATAAAGCTAAGAGGTTAAGTTGTTGGGATGATAATAGCAAATATAGTGATGGGACACACATGAAGGCAGATCACTTGACAAATGGAGAACCACACTGTTGCCAGGAGAAGATAGAAGTAGACAGAAAAATTAGAGAAGATCTGAAGACAGAACCCCTAGACAGCGAAGCAGAAGATGTTTTCAGGTTGTGTGTTACAGGTGGTGGATAAAAAGAAGGCAGACAAGCCAGAGAACCCTCAAACTGCAGAGTGGGCTTTACTGAAGGTCATCAGAAGAACGCGGAAGGAGCCATGGTGGATTGGCTCCTACAGGGTGATGGAAAGGACCTCCCATGCCGTGAAGTTGAAAGGAAAAGGAGCCACCTGGTTTCACTGGAGACAGTGCACCGCAACAGAGGAGCCATGGGATCAGAAAAAAGCCTAGCTGAATAAGGAGGAGCTGGAAGGCATGGATCGGGGCCCAGAGTTGGCGTCAACTGAGGAGACTGATCCAGAGATGATGGAGGAAGTAATGGATCTAACAGGCATGGTGGACAAAAGAGCATAAAAGAAGTACAAGAGAGAAGCAAAGGATAAGAACAGAGAAACTTGTTCCTGTGGAGAACGGTGATGCAGAGATGACAACAGAGGAAAGGACGGTCACTCAGAAACATCCAAGCGGCCCAGACTCAAGAGGAGAGACAGTTTTGGATGGGTCTTGGCCCAAATATGAGCTGGATGGAAAAAACAAAACAGGAAGCTGTCTCTACGAAGTACGACCCTCACAGAATAGGTTGACATCATAGAGGACTCAGGAGAAAGAAGGAGGCCCTAATATTATAATTTGCCATGAAAAAATAGATGCTATTTTTTTCTGTTTTAAAAAACCTCATAAAGAGGGAATAACACCCAATTATTGGCAATTTCAGCATCCTCGGTCGATAGCAGAGGTAGACACATCCCCCCAGAGATATATCCAGCTGCACACCTCGTCCGAGCAGATGAGGGTTCTCAGGACCTTATCGCTTTGTTGAAAGTATTTGTAATGTACGTCGAAAGTGCAGTTGATCAGATCCAAAACAGTAGTTTCCATTTCGGGAGATGTGTGACAAAAAAAAAAAAATAGGAGCTGCTCCGATACACAGACAGAGAGCAAAAATAAAGCAGAAGAGAAACGGAGCTGGAAGGAATGTGTGCGCCTCCTTTGAGAGCCTGAGAGAAAACCATGATAAGGTATGAAAAGTTAGGAATTTTCTTTTGTTGTGTTTTTGATACTCAGTCTCTCTCTTCCTGTGTGTGTCTCCTGTTGTAGGTCCGAGTGCTGGATGGAGTCATACGGACAAGTTCAGTCCTCTGGACAGCATGGTCAAAGAGCTGGGATCTCACCTTTTGCAAGTCAGTATACCACAGGGAACATGCTAAATAAATTTAACTTCAAGTTGAAAATACTCCTGTTATTCTTCTATTTGCTGATTATGATGCCAAGACGGCTGCGCTCAGCCGGGCTGCAGCTTCACGGGCTCTCGGTGAAAACCTAGTTTTTGTTCGCTTTGGAATCGGCTCCGAGCCCAACTACGCTCGCCTCAAGCGTGTGAATTACAGCCAAACTGAACTTGTGAGCTTAAGAGAGGTTTAACTCTGGATACAGCAGCGATCAACAACTATCTAAAACCTATGCTCGCCAGACTGCAGCTTCTACGAACATCAGCGTGGAAGAAGAGGAAGCATTATGCACTGATGAGGCACTGTACTCTGTCTCACATAGACATGGCTTAATAACAACATGCCAGACTCAGCTTTCCAGCTGGATGATGGACTTTTTGGGGGGTCGGACCACTGCAGCGAGCTAACGGGGAAGACAGGGAGTGGAGGTGTATGTGTCTATGTAAGCAGCAACATTGAAACAGATCAGCAGCAACATGAAACAGATCAGCAGCAACATGAAACAGATCAGCAGCAACATGAAACAGATCAGCAGCAACATGATGTGATTTTTCACAGTGATTATTCTAGTTAGAGATTCATGAGTCTAACAGCCTCAGGGTAGAAGCTGTTCCTCAGTCTAGTGGTTCTACACTTAATGCTCCTCAACCTCCTTCCTGAGGGGAGCGGGGCAAAAAGTGTGTGTGCTGGGTGAGTGGGGTCCTTCATGATGCAGGTGGCCCTCTTCCTGCATCTGGAGGTGTAGATGTCTGTGATGGTGGGGAGACTGACTCCAACATCTTCTGTGCAGCCTTCACCACTCTCTGCAAAGCTTTTCTTTCTGCAGCTGTGCAGCCTCCATGCCACACGTTGATGCTGGAGCACAGGATGCTCTCCACTGCACACCTGTAGAAGGAGGTGAGGACTGAGCTTCCAGACCAGCTCGTCTCAGCCGTCTGAGGAAGTAGAGTCTCTGATGAACTTTCTTCATCAGGCTGGTGGAGTTGGTGCTCCAGCTGAGGTTGTCATTCATGTGTACACCCAAGTACTTGTAGCTGGAGACCACTTCCACCGCAGATCCTCTTATGTTCAGGGGGGTGTAGGTGTTTTTGTTCCTTCTGAAGTCCACAATCATCTCCTTTGTCTTCTTCACATTGATGTGAAGGTTATTCTCTCTGCACCAGCTCTCCAGGTGTTCCACCTCTTGCCTGTAGCTGGACTCATCATTGTTTGTGATGCATCCCACCACCGCTGTATCATCTACAAACTTTACAATGTGACAGCCTGGATGGGTAGCTGCACAATCATACGTGAGCAGAGTAAACCAGAGGGGGCTCAACACACATCCCTGAGGAGAGCCAGTGCTGAGGGTTATGGTGGAGGAGGAGAGGTTGTGGATCCTCACTAACTGTGGTCTGTTTGTTAAGAAGTCTAGTACCCAGTTGCAAATGGAGGGACTTAGTCCTAGTGTGAGTAGTTTTTCCATCAGGGTTTGGGGGATCATGGTGTTGAAGGCGGATGTGAAGTCCACAAAGAGCATACGGACGTAAGAGTCCTTCTGCTCCAGGTGGTTGAGCGCAGTGTGGACCACGGAGGAGATGGCGTCTTCTGTTGATCGGTTCTCACGGTATGCATACTGATGAGGGTCCTCGTTGATGTTGATGGTTGTTTTGATGTGAGTCATGACCAGTTTTTCGAAGCATTTAGCGACTATCGGGGTGAGAGCCACTGGCCGATAGTCATTCAGACCAGTCACTGTAGAGCTTTTTGGGACTGGGATGATGGTGGCAGTCTTCAGGCAGGTGGGTACTGTCTCTAGGCTAAGTGAGGTGTTAAAGATGTCTGCCAGCACCTCACAGAGCTGATCGGCACATTCTTTCAACACTTTTCTGTGGTTGTCTGGGCCAGTTGCCTCGTGCGGATTAATCCTCCTGAAAGTACTCCTTACTTCTGCTGAGGTCACGCTGAGATGCTCTTCATCCAGTGGTGAGGTGAGTCTGGTGCTGGTGGGGTCTGTTCGGGTCTTCAAAGCGTGCATAGAACTTGTTGAGGGCATCAGGCAGAGATGGGTCTTTGGGGCATTGTTCACTCCTTCCTTTATAATCTGTTATGCATTTAATGCCCCTCCACATGCTCCGAGGGTCTTGTGAGATGAATTGACCCTCGATCCTCTGTGCATATGTGGCCTTGGCCTTCTTAATACCAGCAACCAGCTCTTTCCTTGTCCTACTCAGCTCCTCTGAGCTTCCAGACCTGAAGGCAGTGTTCCTGACTTCCAGCAGGGTGCACATCTTTGCATTCAGTCATGGTTTTCTGTTTGGGTAGCTTTGAACATATCTCATGGTGGAGACGGTGTCAGTACATGTACTAACGTAACCCGGAACTGAGGATGCGTATTGGTCCAGATCAAGCAATCCTCCATTTTCAGTAGCTTCTCTGAAAACTTGCCAGTCTGTTCGTTCATTGGCTTGTATACCTGTATTATTGAGCATGGACTTTGTAGGTTTTGAACCAGTTTGGCATGACTGTCGATGAGGAAGAGGGCCGGCACCGGAGGAGGGGGCGTGCCAAAGTGACCATCTTAGTACCAACATAACTGTTTTTTTCCCACTTTGGAGTAAGCTGTTGGGGGAAGAATCATTTTTGTGTTGTGTGTTTCCTTGACTTACGAAACCTTCTGGATGGAAGGTGAAACATTTCAGCACAAAAAAAGAAACTGTCCAGATGACCTGAATGAAAAATGTTGGATTGTATACCTGGATTATTGAACATGGACTTTGTTAACTGAGACACTGTGTACATAATTTTGTTCCACCACATGTACCACATGTGTTTAAATGATAATAAACCTACTTGAACTTGAACTTAAAGTTATTCTATAGGAAAATGTATTCTCTTTATTGGGTTGAAAAAAAAAAACCCTCTTTATACCAAATTATTTTACTAATATTTTTGATGGTATAAGGTAGGCTCTAATTTGACATTACTGTACAAATATTGGGGCAAAGATTGCCAGAATTTAATTTTATATAAATGAATGTTTCTTTAATATTATTATTCAAGAAATGTCAAAATAAATAAATAAAGGCTAACCTTACTGTACTGCTGTGTGTTTAAAAGACACTTTCTGTTTCACTTTGTTCACTCAGACTCTGGATGGCTTTGTGTTCGTTGTTGCTTCTGATGGCAAAATAATGTACATCTCCGAAACAGCATCAGTCCACCTCGGCTTATCCCAGGTAGGCCCTTCCCTCACCACAGACCCCCCCCCCCCCCCCCCCCCACACCCCCCCCCCCCCCCCCCAAAAAAAAAAAACAACAACAACAACAACATACACACACAAAAACAAAACAAAAAAAAAACAAACTACTATGTAATTTCAAATTTAGAGGCTTAGATAATAAAAAAAATACAGAATGTAAGAACCTGAGACCAATGGGCAGAAAATGAGTGTTTTTTAATCATTCTTAAGGATCTTTGTGTTAATTTTTGATTTTGAGTTGGTGAGCAGAGTGGTTCATGTCTTCACATCTTTAAAACATAAATGAGCACTGCTGTAATACTGTGTGTGCTGCAGGTGGAGCTAACAGGAAACAGTATATTTGAATACATCCACCCATCAGATCATGAGGAGATGACAGCAGTGCTAAGTCTTACCCAGCCACCATTATATTTCTCTCCAGGTACCCAAAAGCTTCATTGTTTCAACTGAACAATATATTTTATTTATCTTTTTATAGTTAGTGTACTTGTAAAATTGTACACAATTGCTATCCAAAAATTACCATAATTATTATGATTTTTTTGGTTACATTTACTTAGCATTGTTTTTAAAGACATTTGTACATGGATACATTTGTACACTTTAAAAAAGTAAAAGAACAAAGAAACAAGAACATCAACAATTAAAAAACCAACAAATGTCACTGAAATAACTTGAAACTGACAAAATTAGTAATAAAAAGGAATATTGAAAATCAGCTCATGAAAATCAGTCATTCCTTTTGAATTTTGTTTCAACCTAATTATTGTAAAAAAAACAAACTACACAGACTTCTGCACCTGCCCATAATATTTCGTTTCCCTCCTTATGAGCAAATTGCTCCAGCTGTGTCATATTTGAAAGGTTTTCTAGACTGCATGTTTCAGCTCTGTCCACAAATGTTCAACAGGATTTACATCAGGGGTCAGAAGACCACTTCAGAATAGTCCAATTGTTTGGTTCTGAGCCATCCTTGGGTGTTTTAGCTGTGTTCTGGGTCATTATCCTGTTGGAGGACCCATAACCTGTGTCTGAGACCAAGCTTCACTTCACCACTTGCTCTTGCCGAGGGCGGATGCCTCCCTCCTCTCCCTCCTCTGCTTTGCTTTGCTGCTCTGTCCTGTCTGTGAAACTGCTTCTGAGCCTCTCTACACATCTTCTGAACCGTAATTTTGTGGATCTGGTCAGTTGGTCTCTCAACGCAATGGACAAAATTGTTGAGACAAGCTTCAGTCGAGCTGAACTGCCCGGATGACACGTATGCAGCTGGACATGTCTCTGGAGGAAGTGGAATGTGATGTGTCTATCTCTGCTGTCAATCAAGGACGCCAAAATTGCATATGACTGGATTTATGATACAGGTTTCCTGTTTTTGGAATTGTCTGGTTCCTGGTGTATCAACATACAAAGAAGACGGCTGCAGCTAATCTGGCCTGGTCAGGCTGCCGCCTATGTGAAGGTTTGCTCCGTGTCTCATGCACCCAGACTCTATTGCTTAGTAGTGGTGTAACGGTACACATGGGTGTATTGAACCGTTTCGGTACGGCATGTTCAGTTCAGTCCACGTGTGGACTGTTTCAGTTATATTTTCAGTCATTAAATTTTATTAACGAGAGATTATACGCCGCAGAACTAAAGTTCCTAAGCATGTTTCAGCGCGGCGCTATTAATTGTTGCATAATCTCGCAGCACGCGCAGCATTAGCAGCCTAGCACGTCGTTGTGGTCTCCTGTTTGGAAACATTTTGTGTTTCTTATTAAAAGAAAAGTGAACAAATCCAAAGCTGTGTGTCGACGTTGTTTCATGGAGACTGGATCTGCAGCAGCAACACGTCCAACTTGTTAACGCTCTTGAAACAACATCATCCGAATGTGAACGTCTCTTCTAGCAGCTTGTTGCAAAGATCGATAGCAGCAGCATTTAAACAACTTTTATCAGATAATTCAAATCAGTCCAAAGCAATAACACAAGCTGTAGGAGTTTTTATCTATGGATCTATGTCTTTTGTTGATGCGCCGGCTTTAAGCATATGATGAAAGTTCTTTAGCCCCGTTGCCTAGGACATCCCATCACGTCAACACTTCAGCCAAAAAGTTGTACCAGCACTTGATGAAAAAGCTAAAAGTGATTGTCAACAAGCTCTGGACCCGATTTAAAGTCTGCCACATCGATGATGAGCGAGAGATTCAACCACCTCATAACAGAAATGATGACTGTGCAAGAAGAGGTAATGTTATTGTATTATTGTGATCTAATTAACTTTTTAAATTTAAAATTATAATCTTATTAACTCGTTTTTTTTTTTTACCTCTTTGTGTTTTATTTCCAGTCTGGGACAGAGACAGCAGCTGAGTCTTCTTCCTCTTCAGTGAAATCCACCAGAGATCACCTCCAGCTAAGAAGTCTGTGATGAGTGAACTCTGAACTCTTCCAGGAACAGGTGGGAGCAGGTCCAAGAGCTTGTGACTAATGATGAGGCCAAATCCAGCCACACTGCAACATTAACAAAGCTCTACCTCTTTATTCCTGCTACTGTTGTTAGCGAGAGGTTTCCTCCACCACTGCAGATATTCACTGCAACTAGATCTGAACTTTTAGCAGAAAATGTGGACAAGTTGTTTGTTTTGGCCAAAACTTTAAAACTTGAATAGTTACATTGTAAACAGTCTGTTGCTGCTTATTGTTCTGCTTCTGACTGTTATTGTATTTAAGATTTTTATTATTGTTAGTAGGGGTGTAACGGTACGCTAAAATCACATTTCGGTTCGGTTCAGTTTCAAGGAGGGTTCAGTTTTGTTATTTTCAGTACAAAAAAGCCAAAATAAAAACTTACAAAATGTTTATTTTGAAAATATGCCAAGTAAACAAGTTCAGTCATTACAAACTTCTTATGTGGAGGTGATCTGGTGGATGAAGAAGACTCAGCTGCTATCATCCTCAGACTGCAAACAACACAGAGAGAAAAAAATTGAGTTAATAAGATTATAATTTTCAATTAAAAAAAGTTAATTAGATCACAATAACAACACCTCTTTTTGCACGGTCATCATATGAGGTGGTTGGATATCCTCTCTCGCTCATCATCAATGTGGCAGGGCTTTAAATCTGTAGTCGGGCTTGTTGACAATCAGTTTTTAGCTTTTTCGTAAAGTGCTGCTACAACTTTTTGGCTGAAGTGTTGACGTGATGGGATGTCGTAGCGAGGCTAAAGAACTTTAATCATAGCTTAAAGCCGGCGCATCAACATTTGAATGTAGATTCAGAGCTTTAAAAATTCTACAGCTTGTGTTATTGCTTTGGACTGATCTGAATTACTTAAATGCTGCTGTTATCGGTCTTTGCACCTTCCTTGAAGAGATGTTCATGTTCGGATGATGTTGTTTCAAGTGCTTTAACAAGTTAGATGTGTTGCTGCTACAGATCCAGTCTCTGTGAAACAACGTAGACACACAACTTTGGATTAGTTCACTTGTCTTTTAACATCCATCCATCCATCCATTTTCTTCCGCTTATCCGGGGTCGGGTCGCGGGGGTAGCAGCTTAAGTAGGGAGGCCCAGACTTCCCTCTCCCCAGCCACTTGGGCCAGCTCTTCCGGGGGAATCCCAAGGCGTTCCCAGGCCAGCCGAGAAACATAGTCCCTCCATCGTGTCCTGGGTTTTCCTCTGGGCCTCCTTCCGGTGGGACGTGTCCGGAACACCTCACCAGGGAGCGTCCAGGAGGCATCCTAAACAGATGCCCAATTCACCTCAACTGGCTCCTCTCGACGTGGAGAAGCAGCAGCTCTACTCTGAGTCCCTCCCGGATGATCGAGCTTCTCACCCTATCTCTAAGGGACAGCCCAGACAACCTGCGGAAAAAACTCATTTCGGCCGCTTGTATCCGAGATCTCATTCTTTCGGTCACAACCCAAAGCTTGTGACCATAGATGAGGGTATGAACGTAGATCGATCGGTAAATTGAGAGCTTCCCCTTTTGACTCAGCTCTCTCTTCACCACGACAGACCTGTACAGCGTCTGCTTCACTGCAGACGCTGCACCTATCCGCCTATCGATCTCACGCTCCATTTTTCCCTCATTCGTGAACAAGACCCCAAGATACTTGAACTCCTGCACTTGGGGTAGGACCTCCTCCCTGACCCGGAGAGGGCACTCTACCCTTTTCCGGCTCAAGACCATGGCCTCGGATTTGGAGGAACTGATCTTCATCCCGGCCGCGTCGCATTCGGCTGCGAACCGCTCCAGCGAAAGCTGTAGATCACGATCTGATGAAGCCAATAAGACCACATCATCTGCAAAAAGCAGAGAAGCAATCCTTAGGCCACCAAAATGGATCCCCTCAACACCTTGGCTGCGCCTAGAAATTCTGTCAATAAAAGTTATGAACAGAATCGGTGACGAAGGGCAACCTTAGCGGAGTCCAACTCTCACCGGGAACAAGCCCGACTTACTGCCGGCGATGTGGCCCAGGCTCTGACACCGGTCATACAGGGACCTAACAGCCCGTATCAAAGGGCCCGGTACCCCATACTCCCAGAGTATCCCCCACAGGGTTCCCCCACAGGGTTCCCCGAGGGACGTGGTCGAACGCCTTCTCCAAGTCCACAAAGCACATGTAGACCGGTTGGGCAAACTCCCACACACCCTCCAGGACCCTGCTGAGAGTGTAGAGCTGGTCCAGTGTTCCACAGCCAGGATGAAAACTGCACTGCTCTTCCTGAATCCAAGGTTTGACTATCCAACGGACCCTCCTCTCTAGAACCCCCGAATAGACCTTACCAGTGAGGCTTAAGAGCGTGATTCCCCTGTAGTTGGAACACACTTTACGGTCCCCCTTTTTGAATAGGGGGACCACTACCCCGGTCTGCCAATCCAGGGGAACTTCCCCCGATGTCCATGCAATATTGCAGAGTCGTGTAAGCCAACACAACCCTACAACATCCAGAGCCTTAAGGAACTCTGGGCGAATCTCATCCACCCCTGGGGCCCTGCCACTGAGGAGCTTTTTAACCACCTCGGTGACCTCAGCACCAGAGATTGGAGAGCTAGACCCAGAGTCCCCAGGCTCCGCTTCCTCAGTGGAAGACATGCCGGTGGGATTGAGGAGGTCTTCAACGTATTCTGCCCACCCACCCACAACATCCCGAGTTGAGGTCAGTAGCACACCACTCCCACTATAAACAGTGTTGGTGGTGTACCGCTTTCCCCCCCTGAGACGCCGGATGGTGGACCAGAATCACCTCGAAGCTGTGCGGAAGTCATTCTCCATGGCCTCTCCGAACTCCTCCCATGCCCGAGTTTTTGCCTCAGCCACCACCCGAGCTGCATGTCTCTTGGACTGCTGGTACCCATCAGCTGCTTCCGGGGTCCCACAGGCCAAAAAGGCCCGATAGGACTCCTTCTTCAGCCTGACAGCATCCCTC